TTAAGACAGAAGCAGTCCCACACCTCAGCCAGGGGCAGCCTTGGCCACTCCATCTAGGGCTAGCTTTTGCTTGGAGCAAAAGAGATTCAGATCTGGACATCCGTCATAAAAAAAAGTAGATCATGAGACCCTCTCCCCTCTTCTGCTAATAATAATAATAAGGTGGCATTGATGGGAAGCTCACTGTGAGCCAGGCACTACACTTGCATGCAGGAACCCACAGCAATTCAGTGAGGTAGACACTATTATTATCATCCACATATCACCAATGAGGAAACTGACACCCAGGAAGGTTAACTGACCCAAGGTTACCCAGTTCATAAATGTTGAAACAGAATTTAAACTAGTTGCCTTCCAGAGTTAGCGTTTTGATGAATGAATTCTATTTTTGATGACACTGTACTTCCTCAGTGTGAAAAGCAGGCAGTATGGGGTAAAAAATAATAGTCAAAATAATTTTCAAAAAATGCTTTTTGATGAAAATAAAAGGCTTTCTAACTATTAGCATCCCACAAGTCAATTGGTCTATTTCTTACTTTATCATTTTTGTAGTTGCCAAAAGACTATAAGTGTAGATGCATTTTCCTTAGTTTATTTTTAGCTCCCTTCTTTCCCAAGCTCACACAAAGTGTTCCCTGCTTTTATTTCAAGGGGGCTCCCAGGGTATTTATTCTCCCTTGCAATTACTAAAGCAGTTAGCCTTTTAGCCTGGCAGGGAAGAGAGGATGAAAGGGAGTTGCAAAAAGTTGCATATTGATATTTTAAAATTTAGGCACTGTATCTATAAGTACTGACAATATTTTATGTTAATTATGCTTTAGAGTGTTGGAATACTAAGCAAACAGGATCCTGCTTATTCTGTAGTCCGGAGTAGTATGGAACAGAACAGGTAGGACAGAACACCCCAAATAGACTGTAAATGTTTTCACACAAGACTTGATCTTGAGGACGTAGAGGATAAAAAGGAGGTTATTCAGAGTCAAACGCTGAGCTGCTTTCACAATGAGTTCTTCACAGACATCAATAATGAACTCTTCAGAAACCCTCCTCCCAGACATCCCTGAAGTCCAGTTTATAACAAGACCAATAACTCACTTCTTGATCTCTGAAGCCACATATTCAATTCTCTTGACTTCAGGGCCAAAATGAGTTGTTTATTACTCCTGGCAAGTATAAAAAAGGCCATCACCACCTGTGGTCAGTTCCAAGGATGGCAACTTGTTTTCTAATAACGTGCATGGGGACAATGTCCAAATTCCTGAAAAGATTTAGGTACATTAAATGTACAGAGATGGTCATTTTAAAACCGTATTTTTCAGCAATAATTCAGCATCTAATCTGATGAATCACTGCACACGGAATCTGTGAAGGTATACAGAAACCTTCAGAAATAAACATGAGCTGGAGGCTTGTCAGGTCAAAAATACTCAAACAGAATAGTCTACCAAAGAGAGAGTTTATAATATGCATCAGCCTCCATGTCACCTTGGGGCAATCAGCTAACTTCTCTAGAATACCAGTTTTCTCATCTTATGAAATAAGATTTTATTCATTCAACAGACAGTATAGCCTAGGTAAAGACTAGCCCTGGAATCCCAAATACATCCAAGGGATTGCTGGCACTGCTACCTCGTTTCTTCATTTGTTATAATTCAGATATTAGTGAGTACCCTTGAGAGGCATGATGATTAAATCACCTACTTAAACCTCTTAGTGCAGTGCCTGGCCACTTGTAGGTGGTCAGTATAGGCTGACTGCTTTCACTTGTATTAATACTGACGGAGCCCATCCTGCTGGAGACCAGTCTTAAAGATAAGCAGCACTGGGACCAGAACCAGACGTCTAAGAGTTCTCTGGGTCTCATTTGACCCCATGCTCCTTCAAAGCCAGACGCCAGCTCTGGGTCAGCAGCTTCACTCTGGCCTTTAAAGGAGAGGAGCTGAACGTCCAAGGCCTTTGTGCCCCGCGGGAAAACGGTCTGAGAGCCAAAGGCCACTTCAGGGGCCCTCAGCAACCAGGCTCCGGAGATCCTAGCAGGGCCCCAGGTTCCCGCCTTGAACAAAGTCGCTGGCTATTCAGAGAGCCGCCCACAGTGCCTGGGCCACGCCAGGTGCACTGGGGTTTCTTCTCCACCTCCAGACTCAGCTTCGCTCCTGGACTCTGTCCTCCCGGAACACGGAATGCTGACGGACGCTGCTCTTGCAGAAGCTAGGGGCGCGGGCGCCAAGTGCGCTGCGACGCCGTGCAGAAGCGCCGCACCCTCGCGCGCTCCTAGCCGGCGCTCACACCTCCGCTCCCAGGGACTGCGCGCCCGGGTGCCGGGTGCGGGGATTGCGGGGAACAGGGCGGGGCGGGGCGGGGTGCACTGGGGGCCCGCCCCCGCTCCCCTCCCCCTCCTGCGGAGATTGACAGGGCCTGGGCATCCGCCCCAACCAATGAGCGCGTCCTGGGGCGGGCCCTGGAACCGGCTGCTCTGGCTGCTCCGGCTACTTAGAGTAGTCGGCGCGGCTGTGGGAAAGCAGAGCGGAGCCGGGACTGCCCAGGTGGAGCCGGCGCCCCAGCCAGCGCAGACCCGGAGGTGCTCGGGCACCGCACCGCACAGTTCGGCGCGGGGCATCGGGGAGCTGCAGCCCCACGCGCCGCCCGGGACCCACTCGCCTCCGCCGCCTCCGCAGCACCCATGGGGACCAGGAGACTTTAAAGGAGTTTGGGGTTTCGGGAGCAGGGAAATCACCGGTACGGAGAAGCAGCTTTCTTTGCCTTGGAAATGGTTTTTCTTCGTCTGATTGTTTGAATCCTGTGCTGGGTAGGAGGGAGAGGGGTTTTCGGCTGAAAGTGGACCTACACACACACACACACACACACACACACACACACACTCGCACACATACACTGCGCTGGCTCCTTCCCCTGCCTCTTTGTTAGGTTATTTTAGACAGAGCAGCCTCGCCCTGGCGCAGTCCGATTGGCTCTGCTGGGGAGAAGGCAAGAGAAGTAAGGGGCAGAGTGCACCTGCCTGTGTGGGCAGGTGTGCCCGGGTGCTTGGGTGTACGTGCAGCGGCGAGCGTGCGAGCGTGGGGCTGGGATTGTGTTGGAATGTGGGGGCTTTACGTGTGTCAGTGTGTCGTCGCGAACGTTTGTCATTGTGGGTGTATGTGACATTATACACCAGCGTACCAGCCTGGCAATGTCTGGACTCCAAAGTGTGCAAAATTTTGCTAGTGTCAAGGGAATGCCTGCGAGTGTATCCGATTGTCATTGTGTGAGCCGCTGTCAGGGGAGGAGAACGACCTAGTGCAAAACTGGGAGGTGGGCTAGAGAGGGTGGGGACAGACATGTGAGCGCAGCTTGCTTGGAGCTCTCAGGCCTGAGGCTCCCTTCTCCCTTCCAACCCACCCCTCTGTTCTTCCCTGGGTGTCGGTCTCCCATGCTGCCACCCCAGCGCTCTCCTCCCCTTTTGGGACCCCGCGCACGCTCTCCAGCCAACCTGCGTTTTCTCTTGTGGGAGTTGGATCGGGTTCCCCGACAGGGTCAGAAGCTGTGTGGTGGCTCTTGCCCGCTCTCGTCCGCCGGACTACTGTTTCTTCTTTGCCCTGCGTACCCCCAGGGAGGCACAGGGGACTTGGCTGGCGCAGGCGACTCCTGTGGGGGCGCGTGGGTGGGCAGGCAGGTCCCAGGGGCACTGCACGTCTTGGGAAGCATCAGCGGGAAGGACACCCCAACTCTGATGGCTTCTCTGCCTCTGCTCTCTGCTCCAACAGATCCCCGCTCCTGGCCCTAGTCTCGCCGCGTCATTGATGGGCAACCAACTGGACCGCATCACCCACCTCAACTACAGCGAGCTGCCCACAGGGGACCCATCGGGGATTGAGAAGGACGAGCTGCGGGTCGGGGTCGCCTACTTCTTCTCAGATGAGGAGGAGGACCTGGACGAGCGCGGGCAGCCAGACAAGTTTGGCGTGAAGGCCCCCCCAGGCTGCACCCCCTGCCCAGAGAGCCCCAGCCGCCACCACCACCACCTGCTGCACCAGCTGGTCCTCAACGAGACTCAGTTCTCCGCCTTTCGAGGCCAGGAATGCATCTTTTCCAAAGTGAGTGGCGGCCCTCAGGGCGCGGACCTGAGCGTCTACGCGGTCTCCGCGCTGCCCGCGCTCTGCGAGCCCGGCGACCTGCTGGAGCTGCTGTGGCTGCAACCCGCGCCGGAGCCGCCCGCGCCCGCCCCGCACTGGGCCGTCTACGTGGGCGGCGGGCAGATCATCCACCTGCACCAAGGCGAGATCCGCCAGGACAGCCTGTACGAGGCGGGCGCGGCCAACGTGGGCCGGGTGGTGAATAGCTGGTACCGCTACCGCCCGCTGCTGGCCGAGCTGGTGGTGCAGAACGCCTGCGGCCACCTGGGCCTCAAGAGCGAGGAGATCTGCTGGACGAACTCGGAGAGCTTCGCCGCCTGGTGCCGCTTTGGCAAGCGGGAGTTCAAGGCAGGAGGGGAGGTGCCCGCGGGGACGCGGCCCCCGCAGCAGCAGTACTATCTCAAGGTGCACCTGGGGGAGAACAAAGTCCACACCGCCAGGTTTCACAGCCTGGAAGACCTCATCCGCGAGAAGCGCCGCATCGACGCCAGTGGCCGCCTGCGAGTGCTCCAGGAGCTCGCCGACCTCGTGGACGACAAGGAGTAGCCGCGGAGGGGCTGCGTGCCCCGCCTGTCTCCCTGCACCCCGCTCCCTTCCCGTCCCCGCACCCGGGCCTCGCGGCCGGAGATTCCCGCCCCACGCCCCCTAGCGCGTCCGCCACCGCTGGCCAGTGTCCAGGCTGCACCGCGCACTCCTCGGGCAAGTGACAGGAAGTCTCAGGAACTGACCCTGGGCTGAAAGGGCGCAGCTGCGCGCGCCTGGCTGAGAGCCCGGCTGGTGGTGACGGTGTCGGGAGACCCAGCGTGCGCTGTTCCTTAGAGTTGTAAGGGGGTAAAGGGGAATGGGCTGAGGGGAGCAAGGACATGGCCTCGCCCGCGAGTCAATGGTCAGTAACTATCACCCGACAGGGACACAGCCCTTTTCTAAAAAGGGACCATTACCGTCCCAGATGCGCACGCACAGATCGGTCGGAGGCGAGAATTGGTCTTTTCAGGACACAGTTCAGCTCTTGTATGGATGTATCCCCAGATCGCAGGGTTTCCAAGAAATCGAGCCTGTCCCTTGTGCACTTGTGAATAATTTCGCAAGACAGCACTTCCACTTCGGGACTCCGGGTTATCCTGAAGCTGCCCGGGACCTTTCCAGCTGCCCAGCTCCAGGTCTCCGGACATTGTGCTCCAGGCTCCGGGCTGAGCTAGCTAGTGTTTGCTTCCTGTTCTTTCCACCGAGGGAAGCGAGTGCCACCCCCACCCGCATTTTGCCTGCGAGTCTCCCTAGCTAGTAGGAGGGCAGCCTTCCCGTCCCGGGAGGAAAATGGCGCAGCTAATTTGGTGAGGAGAGCCGGCCCCGCCCCCGAAAGGAGATAGTCCGCCAGGTGTCTGGGAACTTGAGCGTGGGAAGAAAGGTGCTTAGTGTTCTGAACCCTTGGGCTGCATTTCAAAACAGTCATATTTTTAAAGGGGTTAGAGGAGGGGGAGGAAGAGGACATGGCAACATTCCAGAAACCAGCATTATTACAACACCATAGCCAGTATGTTTAGTTTGGCTTTTCCTAACATAGAAATCGTAGAAGGTGGGGGAAGTGGAAATAAAGTTTTAAAAAAGAGAGCAGTTTTCCAACTATGTCAACAAAGCCTATCGTGTTGATGTTTTTATTGACCATTTTAGCAACATGCTAATAAAATTTCAAATTGAAATTTTTATTTTCATGGCTTTAATCCATGATAGTTTAAATACTGGGGGCCATTAAGAGTGGATTTAGCTAAGAGCTTAGCTAACATTGCCTTTTCACTCTATTTTTCTCAAATCGTATGAGAATTCTGTTTTTGACTATTGTAGTTAATTTTTTTTTTTGCTTTCAACAGCAGCCCTAGTAATGGTGGAATTGTTAATCGATGTGTATATTGTACTGAATTTCTGTCAGTTAAAGGGTTTACTGCTTTGGTGGAAATTGCTAGCAGGTTCCATGATGTTTCTTTTCTTCGTGTTGTATGTCATTACCATTTCACATTTTTCTTCCTCTCCTACTGATCTCCTTAAAAAGAAATCTAGAGTTGGTGGCTTTATTCCCCTCCCCCTTGGCAAATCCTACAGCTCAGTTCTGCCTAAAAACAGGGAAGAACTTGTAGGATCAGGACAAACGTGTGTTTTTCAAAAAAAAGTTAAGGCTGGGTGACACCCCTTCCTTGGGCGAGGATTTCCAAATTTCCCTCCTTGTGCTGCAGCCCTAGCCTGACTTATTGTTACTTGATTCAGTGTGTTAGACACTTAGAGCATCTCTGTCTCTTTCAAGGGAATTTGTCAAATAATGCTGTTTAGCTAATTGTTGCAAGCAATTGCATATTGACAGCTGTGATTTAGTTGGACAGCAAATATTATGGCCAAAGCCAGTTTCTTGGCATTTCAAATATAATGCAATAAAAACTAGTCGAGGTTAGCTGAGACTGGAAATGCCTTTTTCATGGTAAATGATTCATTTCTCTCTTCTTTTCTTTTTTTTTCTTTCTTTTTTTTTTTTATTTTCATCCTGGATTCATTCCCTGATCTTAAATCAAAAGGTCACATCAATGAAATATGAACTAAAGTATTTTTCTTAAGCCTATTGAGTGATTTATTTTTTAAAAAATGTTTAAATGCATATGCTTTTCTTTCAGCACAAACAATAGCAAAATTTTGTAATAACTGACTTACCTTTGCATGTATGGAGAACTGAAAGTCATTTATTTCCCTAACTTATTCCTCTTTTGAATAACAGATGGCAGATCATAAACTGAAATTCTTTATTGTATCTACACACTCCACATTCTTTACTGTGTCCTACTACTGTATCTCCGCTCCCTGCTGTATTAAACACCATCTTAAGCACTTGTTCCTACAGGACTCCTTCTTGACATTTTGTTTTCCACTTCAAAGTCATTCAAAGTGTGAGATTTCATCAAAAGAAATGAATCAGTCTCTATCATACCTAATACTAAGATGTATTTCCTCTGATGGTACATGATCTGAGTTCTCTCTTCCTAAGAGGGTCACTCTAACAGAGGAATAGTTTATCAGCTTTATACTTGCTGAGACTAAACTGAAAATAAAAATAAGTTGGGAAGTTAAAGTAGCATTCATTATTATATTGATCTTTTAAGGATTGGGTTGATGATAATACTTCTACAGATTTGCAATAATACAACACTGGTTACAGAAGGAACTTGAACAGTTTGTAAGGTTTCTCATATTCCTATTGAAATAATCATTTATTATCTCTTGGTCAATGTTAATAATCAATGGCAAAATAATTCTCATGGTAGTTCAGCATGGAGAGAATATTACCAACAGATTATCTAATGGCTTTTTCCTCAAAAAGGTGTATATTTTTAGGGCATTAATAAGGTCATGAGTGAAACCAAGACTGTGAAACCAACTTTCAAAAGACTGTGAAAGTTCCCTTTATAGATGGCATGAACACACTTGATTTTTGTTATGACTGAATGCAATCTCTCTGGATTTTATCAGAGTTATAGAAGTTAAGCCACAAGTTTCCTAATATTTTAATAGGGGTCAGAAATTTAGTTTTGGTTTTAGTTGTCCTCAAAAGGCTACAGCTTAACAGTAATTTCCATGATGTTGAGTGTGGCTAAGCTGGAGACTGGTTTTGTTCAACCTGCTCCAATGCAGAGGAATGGCATCCTTAATCCTTATACTACATTCTTTCTCTACTTTCAGGGGGTGATTCTGAAAAGCAAACTACTAATACTAAAAAAAGAGAGAGATACTTTAACTTCAAAGAGTGCTGTGTTACTCATTTTATTTAAAAAAAAAAAAAAAAAGAAGAAGAAGAAACAAAGGTGAACTAGGCATACTTGAAACAAAACCAGCCATGGAACACCATTATTCCCAAAATATATTCCTTAAAAAAAATTCTGTAGAAGTTATATATGTTGCATTTATTTTTTAAAAAAATCAAAGTATATCAATGAGTGAAATTGATATATATATAAAGTGTTTCTTAGTATTTAAGTCCCTGTCGTGACAGTATTTTATTAGAAGAAAGAATAATACATACTAACTTAGCATTAGAAAACAGTGTCAGATTAGAATATCAAGCACAGAAGCAGCTATATAATCTTACTAGATTTAAATTTTTTAATGTTTATCTTCCCTTATGTGTCATGTTTCTGTGGTGAATGCTTTTGTTTGAACAGTGACTTTTTATTTTGGAGGGGGGGAAGCATGTTATTGGTATTTACAAAGTAATGAATTACCTGAATAATTGGTATATCCTAACAGTCTTTAAACATCACTTTATCGATGACCTATGTTTTGTGGTATCTCTTCAACATCCCTAGGGGAGCTAAATGTGTTAGTCATCTGATACACAGGGTCAAATTGGAGCAGGGTCAAATTTTAAAGAAATTAATACTAAATTGCACAATCATAATAGAGCAACCTAATTTTCTTTTATACATAACCTTCAAAGCTTTCTGCTTTCTCTTTTTTTAAAGAAATGGAGAGAATCCAGTTAGTGTTTGCATATTAGAGATGATTTGCCATAGGCACAAGGGGTCTGCTGATGAAAAGACAGGCTTCCAGGTTTTCTGAACCATTAATAGCTGCATTTAGAGATTAGTTATCTAAGACCCATATCTATTGTTATTTAAAATCACTAGCTATTGGCGTGGTATACATATATATGCATATGTATATACACATGTATATTCACATATATTTCAGGCACAAAATAAATGCTTCAAAAGTTAATTTAAGCTTCAGTGTTCTAAAAAATAGAAAAAGATTATATAAGGCTTATATCTTCCTAAGAAAAGTCTTGCCATCAATGTACAATACAGACATTAATGCTCTACTCATATATTACATATATGTGAATGTATATACACATATACACATGCCTATATGTGCATATATACACATGTACATACACACATATACACATACATATTTCTGCCTACAGCTACTAATTGTTATTTCATTCAGAGATATATACATATACACATGCACACACATACGGACTATTTAAAAACAAAACGGAAAGTGACTTGAGATTCACAAAAACAGGAAAGAAAAGACCTAGTAGTCATGTAGCTTATGAGTAACTGGACAGCAAGCACCTTGCCGAAAACTAAGCATGAACAAAAAGAATAAAATGTGAGCATTGTACAATTAGTTTCAGCCTCACTTTTGGAAGAATACATTCCTAGTTTCTCTAACAACAACAACAAAAAAATCATAGGAAAGCTGTAAAACTTAGGAGGTCACTGAAAAATAAGCAAGATGAAGTGGGGATGCTGTGAGATGATGTCATGTGCTTTTCAACAGGGGACACCTGTTCTCCATTCTAAATGCCACCAGTAAAGGAAAGCTAAGATCCTGCTTTCAACCACTTAACAATTTACAAAATCCCCTTGATTTCATAACTCAAGATTTACCTTCTAGGCATGTTTACCTCATTTGAACTTGTGATAGAAAAGGCTTAAGTATTCAAATATGTTGGAAAAAAAAAAAAAAAGAGTCTTCCCTGCCCTTGTGGCTGAGGGTGTCCCAGCATTCTCTGAACTCCATGCCTTGGCGGCACAGCCAGATGAATGGTTTCCATGCTGTGGGCTTTTATCAACCTCTCTGATGGCTGACGGAACAAGGCACATAACAGGTGCTCCATAATGCAAGACTGTGGCAGTTCTCTAGTACAAGTGTTTCTCACGGATCCTTTGTTGTCAGGAAAAACCAGGAAGCCCACCACTTTGTTTGTCTACTAAGGAGAACCTAAAGAAGTTTCTTGAATTGAAATTTGGTAGGGTTTTCGTACCTCAGAAAGCTCATGGAACGACATTTCATGAGGCTTAAGTTTGATTTCAGTTAAAGGGCAGTTGGAATATTTACTTTGCTTCTAGAAAAAATAATGATCAAAGAATCCAGGAAAAGGAAAATGTTCTCTTGTCATTTGGTCAGAAAGGGAAAAGCAAACTAATAATTCTGACTATTCTCACAACTTCATCTCTCATTCACCTCAAGGAGAGGTATTTCTCGCATGAAATCACAAGATTATTCCTCCAGAAGGAAGCTTATGATTGTAGCTCTTGCTAAAAATTTTCTTCAGTGTGTAGGAAAAGACTTGCTAGAATATGCACTTAACTCTCTGGGAAAATTAGATGTGATGGAGTCTGGTCATGGGTGTTTTTCTAAATAAACTTTACTCATTTATATATTAAAATATTAAAATAATTGCTATGCCCCTTGACTTTTATAATCCATTTGTATGTGAACATGAGTTCTGAACTTAATTTTGTCCATAGGATACTTATGAAATATTACATATGAATAGAGCCAATGTCCTGAATTTTAAGCACAAAATAAATGCTTCAATAGTTAATTTGAGCTTCATTCAGTGTTCCAAAACAATAGAAAAGGATCATTTAAGGCTACTGCCTCTAAGCTTCCTAAGAAAAATTTTGCCATAAATATATGATACAGATATTAATGTTCTAATTCCACAATGGGAAACTTGAAGGCTTCTTCATTATAAGTATACTGATATTTGCTTTAGCAAATAAGTTATTTTTCTAAATTCTGTCATTTTCTCTTCCAACAGTTTTGCAACTCTTTGCTCACTGCCAAGCCCACTGTTTTCAGATTTCAGATTCTCCAAGGGGATGAGGAGATCTGGGGGGATCACATCCACAGTGACTCTATAAAACATCCCTCAACTCTCAACAGCATACACCTGATTTCATCCTGCCTCTTGCTTCCCAGTGAAAGTGTCTGCCCAGCGGATCTGGGCCAGAGGGAGACAAGGCTCAGGGGTAGGGTTGCCAGGTTCAGCAAGTAAAAATACAGAATGCTCAGTTACATTTGAATTTCAGATAAATGATGAATAATTAATTGTTTTAGGATAACCATGCCCCATGTAATATGTAGGATATACTGTGTTTCCCCGAAAATAAGACCTACCCATAAAATAAGCCCTAGCAGGATTTCTAAGCATTTGCACAATATAAGCCCTGCCCCCAAAATAAGACCTAGTGATGGGCGTGGCTACGCAGCGTATATGCACAACCCATTTCATCGCGGAGTGGTAAAGAAGATGAGCAGAACTTCTCATCTGTCTCTATTGCTTGACAAGAGAGATTGGGGCCGATGGTTCTAAAGGAAATAGAGTCACAAGAAATTCAGGATGGAATTCGGGGTTTGGAGAGTTATGATGATGTTCCATAAGAAGATGACTTAACTCTATTTGAATAAATGTAGATTGTTGTACCGTACTTAAATAACACATCCCCTGAAAATAAGCCCTAGGGTGTCTTCTTGAGGAAAAGTAAATATAAGCCCCTGTCTTAGTTTGGGAGAAACACGGTAATTATACTAAAAAGTATCTGCTTATCTGAAGTTCAAATGTAACTGTATGTGGAGTATATTAGTGGCAACCTACTCAGGGAGAACTTTACTATCTTTAAGAAGCCACAGAGTTCCCTGACTTTTTTGGAGTTGACGAAGGATATACCCTCTACCCATAGCACTGAGGTCTTGTTAGATTGCTGATGTGTCTTTGAAGGTCAAAGCCAGATTCAGGCCCAGGAATGAGCACATAATCCACAAGAAGCCCCAGAAGGAAGAGGCCACAGGCTCAGGTATCATTGATAGGGAGTTGGTTGTGTGTATGTGTAGGTAGGGATGGGAGGGGGTGTTTCATGTGTCTCTATTCTTGTACTCTTTTGATTCTATTTTATAGGACATATCATCCTTTATCTGGGGGTATGATGAATACTTTCCTAGATACAATCAGAAATACTCCATGCTATTGTTTTCAATCCCACCTGCCATTTACCCCAAACAGGACCCTCACTTTACACCTGACTTTTTCCCCTAGCTTCCTCACCCTTCTCTACCCATCTGGCATCTCTATCCAAACACTTGCGGCCGACGTGATCTTTCTAACTACAGATCCATTACTGACAAGGTCAAGGCTGAGTTCCTTAGTGAGCAGTCAGGATCTTCCACAGTCTGACCCTGTCTACACCTACCTGCAACCCCCTCAATTCTCAGCTCATACTTAGGTCACACAGGGCTTTTGGAAAACTTGTGGTTTTTATTCATGCTTCCATG